AAAAAAAAAAAAAAAACAAAAAAAAAACAAAAAAAAACCTCCTAATGAATGGATTTCATTTTCAGTATGCCTAATTTATGAGTTTTAAGGGGCACTTTAGCTCCTTCAACTTGAGAACAATACTCTGATAAAACTGGAAGTTAGTCAGTGACTCCTCTTTACTTGGTTGAGTTAGATAAATTTGAAACTTAAGAAAGAATTCTAAGTGATGGCCCTCAAAACTGTGCCAGCACTACCCTTTGTATCTGCATTAAAATGGACTGTGAAGGAACAAGGAGTGTGGACTGGAATCTAAAAACAATGACTGAAGAGAACCAGGCATCTGTATTCATTCGGCTTTAATAATTTTACTGAAATCAGAAAATTATGTTTGACTGAATGTGTGGTATTTACAGGACCTGTACATTTTTCTTGAATAACACCTATAATTCTTTATACAGTGAATCATAGTAAACATGGGTACTGCCTTGAATCCTGGATCTGTACACTTGTAAAATGGAATAAATTCTTAAAATGTTACTGTGTTTCTTTTAAAAATAAATATGATAGGCTGAGGCGGGTGGATCACCTGAGGTTGGGAGTTCGAGACCAGCCTGGCCAACGTGGTGAAACCCTGGCTCTACTAAAAATACAAAAATTAGCCAGGCATGGTGGTGGGCACCTGTAATCCCAGTTACTTGAGAGGCTCAGGCTAGAGAATTGCTTGAACCCGGAGACAGAGTTTGCAGTGATCCGAGACAGCGCCACTGCACTCCAGCCCAGGCCACAAGAGAGAAACTCTATCTCAAAAAACAAAACAAAACAAAACAAAAAACAAAAAAACTTAATGCCCTGGTATCTAGAAAGGTTTCACTTGCAATTTAAGTTTGAACTAGAAAGACAGCCCTGCAAGTCACTGAATGGAATTCTCAAAACTCTTGCTCTAGCCAGATCAGCTCTGTTATGCGACAAACAGCATGAAGTGGACGGTACCTTCAATGATGAAAAAAGGAGTATAATGGAGAGTTTTAATCATGAACAAATATCACACCATCTGATAATTGGTACCATTGTCTCAGTCCATTTTGTGTTGCTATAACAGAATACCCAAGACTGGGTAATTTATAAAGAAATAGTTATTTGGCTCATGATTCTGGAGTTCAGGAAGTTCGAAATTGAGAGGCAATATCTGGTGAGGGCTAGCTTGCTGCATCATCCTGTGGCAGAAGGTTGAAGGGCAAAAGAATGCAAGAGGAAGGGTGGGCTTGCACAAGGAATGTGTAGAACTCATCCTTTTATCAGAACCCTACTCCCAGGTAATGGAGGTAAGGGCATTAATCCATCCATGAAGCCAGTGCTCTCATGACCTAGTCACCTCTTAAAGATCCACCTCTCAACACTTGCATTGTCGAGTAAGTTTCCAACACATGAACTTTGGGGGACGTATTCAAACCATAGCAGCCATTTACTGAGCATTCACCTATTATATATGAAATAAAAATCAGAAGAGATAAGGTCCTATAGTCATGTGGAGCTTGTTTGATAAGAGGAAAAGCATTGTGGTAAATGGAAAAATTGAATGGGTTTTAGAGCTGCAGTCCTGGATTCAAATCCTAGCTCACCAGTTACTATGACCTTTGGCAAACTGATCTCTCAAACCTTCAGTTTACTTACTTATAAATAGTCTTTCCTTTTCCCTGTGTTGTTTTAGGTAAGATTGTTTAAAGATAATGCTTTTTGTTCACTGTCTTAAGAGAAATGTAAAATAAACTGAAATGCTTCACACCTTTCATATAATTCTTCCATAGCTTGTATAATAAAGCTTTGGAATAAGGTCAGGAACATTTATATAAGCAGGCTGGGCATGGTAGGTCACGCTTGTAATCCCAGCACTTTGGGAAGCCTAGGTGTGTGGATTACCCGACATCAGGAATTCAAGACCCGCCTGGCCAACATGGTGAAACCCCCTCTCTACTACAAATGCAAAAATCAGCCAGGCGTGGTGGTACACACCTGTAGTCCCAGCTACTTGGAAGGCTGAGGTAGGAGAATCGCTTGAACCCAGGGGGCAGAGGTTGCAGCGAGCCCAGATCGTGCCATTGCACTCCAGCGTGGGTGACAGAGCAAGACTGTCTCAAAAAGTAAAGAAAGAAAATACAGAAGGCCAGGCACAGTGGCCCTCGCCTGTAATCCCAGCATTTTGGGAGGCCAAGGTGTGGGAAATCGTGTAAGCCAGACTTTTGAGCCCAGTTTGGCAATATGGCGAGACCCCATCTCTACATACATGCATACATACATTCATGGTGTTTATTGTGTACACTTTTTTTTTTTTTCTTTTTTAGAGACGGGATTTCACCATGTTGGCCAGGCTGATCTTGAACTCCTGACCTCAAGTGATCCACCCGCCTCGGCCTCCCAAAGTGCTCGGATTACAGGCTTGAGCCACCGCACCCGGCCTAAATGTGTACACTTTGAAGGGGTAAATATTCCGGGTAAAGGAATTAAGTTCTGCTAAATTTGGAATACTGCCTATCAAAGGAAAACTGTTCTCATGTATAAGAGGAGAAAAGATAGTTCTGAAGACTACTTTTTTCCCTGTATAAAACCAGATAAATTTTGCTGGGTGTGGTGGCTCACACCTGTAATCCCAGCACTTTGGGAGGCTGAGGCGGGCAGATCACCTGAGGTCAGGAGTTTGAGACCAGCCTGACCAATATGGCGAAACCACATCTGTACTTAAAATACAAAAATTATTCGGGTGTGGTGGTGCGTGCCTGTAATCCCAACTACTTGGGAGGCTGAGGCAGAAGAATCGCTTGTACCTGGGAGGCGGAGGTTGCAGTGAGACGAGATTGCACCATTGCATTCCAGTATGAGTGACAGAGTAAGACTCTATCTCAAAAAAAAAAAAAAAAAATTCAAAAATTAATGAAATTTTTCTGAAAGGTAGTGACTTTTCAGAGGGAAAGTAGTATGTAAGGCCTTTTGCTCTCATATTGCCAAAGCTGGAACATTTCTCTGGACTGTGAAACAGTCTGTAATACTAAGATATGAATGAATACTAGCCATACATTAAGGACAGTGCAAATAATTTTCAGTATGTAAGCCTTCTTTCAGAAGTAACTAGGCAGGAGAGTTTTGAAATAGTTGAAATTCCACAATTTCATTTTTATATTTTTTATTTTTGTATTTTAATTTTTTTTAAGAAAGGCCCTCCTTTGACACAATTTCATTTTAAAACTCTGAGTTTAGTAGGTTTATTAGAACCTGACTATTATGTGTATGAATAGCATCTTTTAGTGTGTCTGGTAGTGGTGGTTTTTCTTTTTTAACTATTATAGGAAGTTTCAAGAATTTGTACTATTGGTATACTTTTTTTTTTCTTTGAAAGTAATCAATTTGGTTCTGATTACAAAATACAGGTGAGGAGCACAGGCAATGCCTGTAACCCCTCTGCTGCACATCTCCCCAGTATGTGCTTCTGTAAATATCCTTTGTACTACAACAGCAAGCTCAGGCTGTCCCCAAGCGCTTGCACATTCTTTTTTTTTTTTTTTTTTTAAAGACGGGGTTTCACCATGTTGGTCAGGCTGGTCTTGAACTCCCGACCTCAGGTGATCCGCCCGCCTTGGCCTCCAAAGTGGTTGGATTACAGGCGTGAGCCACCGTGCCCAGCTGCGCTTGCACATTCTAACAGCTGCAGAGTTTAGTGCATGACCAGGTGGCGAGTTAGACAGAAGCCCCACTCACAAGGTAGGGCCCCTCCAATTAGTCTTCCAGCTCCCTTTTGTTGATAATAACTGGTTGCTCTTCCTATTGGTCATAGACAAATTATACCTGCACAATTCTCCGAGTGCTTTCAGGCAACCTCAGAAGGCAGTGACTAAGACCTTTTCCTTCCTCCCAGCTTTCTATTGTCTCTGGCTGCTTGTGGCACCAGGACTGCTGCTGCCCCTGGGTCCTGGACATTCCAGGGCAACAATGGAGGAAGGGCAGGTCAAGCATGAGGAATTAACAGCCTTCATTGGGCTCAGACCAGGAGTCCGTGGGTCTGGAGGACTTCTGTGTATTTGTCAGTTTCCTTCTCCACATTCTTCTCAGCCTATTTCCATAGCCTCATGAGCTGTTTCTTCTTCTGGTAGTGGATCTTGGCTTTCTCCTTCCTCTTCTCCTCCAGGGTAGCTGTCACTGCGGGGTACTTCCAGCTAACCTCGTGAGCCAGGTGCCCCAGATATGAAGACTTTCTTATATGCTTCAGACACACAACTTTGAGGGCAGCAGGAACCACCATCCACTTTTTCTTGTCATGGGATGGTAGGATGCTGTCAAGCACCTTGAGGCACTCCAGGGTGGCCTGGCCTTGCTTGGTCTTGGGGGGCATGCCTCGCACACTCTGCTAGAGAGGCTGGTGGCCCAGAAGTGATAGGGGCCTCGGGAAGGGTTGGTGTTCATCCGCTTGTGGAGGAAAGCCAGGTACTTCAACTCATTTCTGTAGAAATTGCCAGAAATGTTGATGCCCTCACAGCATGTGACCACCACCTTCAGCCCAGCAGTACCGGCTTAGCCACAGTGGCCACCAGGCAATCCAGGAGATGGCCTCGACCATTAAGCACCAGGACCTGCAACTTTGCCATCTTCGGCAGCTACCTGGGAAAAAGGTTATTAGTATACTTTCCATTATTTATTTATTTATTTTTCAGGCAGAATCTCACTGTCACCCAGGCTGGAGTGCAGTGGCTGGATCTCGGCTCACTGCAACCTCTGCCTCCTGGGTTCAAGCAGTTCTCCTGCTTCAGCCTCCTGAGCAGCTGGGACCACAGGTGCCCACCACCATGCCTGGCCGAGAATTTGTACTGTTGGTTTACTTTCATTTTCAACTTGAAAGTATATCTGAAATAGGAGAAATTAGGTTACTGAAAGCAGAAGTCAGAAGAAATCAGTTTGCTTCCCTTCCTCTTGTGGAACTTCCCATTCTTTAGCCTAGATTCTCAGCCTGCTTGCCCATCCTTCGCACTAGTTCACTACACATCTTGCTGCCCCACACCCACAAATAGATGGTGTAGCGGTATGGGCTTCTGGAGAGTACAGACTTACAGCTTCAACATTTGCAGGACTTACATGTAAATGTTATTTGTGGGAAAATATTTTGTATTCAAATATTTTTCTGCACTAAAACATTTCCTAGTTCCCTTCTCTCCGTACAGCCCACTGCTTCTCTTCCCCCGCCAACTCGTTCTCTTTGAAGCAGTGTTTTCTTCCTTTGTTTTTGTTAGATTGAACCAAAAGAAATTACCAATATTTCATCACATTTGACTTATAAAAACATTTTCTTATGGTTTAACCTAATTGTTCTTTTTTTTTTTTTTTGAGACGGAGTTTCGCTCTTGTTGCCCAGGCTGGAGTGCAATGGCGCGATCTCGGCTCACCGCAACCTCCGCCTCCTGGGTTCAGGCAATTCTCCTGCCTCAGCCTCCTGAGTCGCTGGGATTACAGGCACGCACCACCATGCCCAGCTAATGTTTTGTATTTTTAGTAGAGACGGGGTTTCACCATGTTGACCAGGATGGTCTCGATCTCTTGACCTTGTGATCCACCCGCCTCGGCCTCCCGAAGTGCTGGGATTACAGGCGTGAGCCACCGTGCCCGGCCTTTTTTTTTTTTTTTTTTTGAGACAGTGTTTCACTCTGTCATCCAGGCTGTAGTGCAGTGGCCCGATTTGGGTTCACTGCAACTTCCACATCCTGGGTTCAAGTGATCCTCCTGCCTCAGCCTCCCAAGTAGCTGAGATTACAGGTGCGTGCCACCACACCTGGCTTATTTATTTATTTATTTATTTATTTATTTTTGTATTTTTAGTAGAGACAGGGTTTCGCCATGTTGGCCAGGCTGGTCTGGAATTCCTGACCTCGCTTACCTTGGCCTCCCAAAGTGCTGGGATTAGAAGCGTGAGCCACCACACCCAGCCACTCACCAAATACTCTTGATTTTTTAAAAAAATGGATATTTGTCTAATAACCTTTTCCCTAAATATTTAATTATTGTTAGTCAAGTTGCTATTTGGTTTTCAGTTTATGGAACTCTCTTCATCACATTTGCAGTTGTTGATAACCATGTGTGGGTAGATATGACAGGTATCAGCCTTGTTTTACAGATAAAAAACCATGAATCAGATAGATTTTGATTTGTCCAAGTCACATAATATTAAGAAACAGGCTGAGCATGGTGGCTTATGTCTGTAATCCTGACACTTTGGGAGGCTAAGGTGGGTGGATTTCCTCAGCAGAGGAGTTTGAGACCAGCCTGGGCAACATGGCGAAACCCCTTCTCTATGAAAACGGTAACAGTTAGTGGGAGGTGGTGGTGAGAGCCTGTAGTCCCAGCTGCTCATGAGGCTGAGGTGGGAGGATCACCTGAGCCTGGGAGGTTGAGGCTGCAGTGGCAACAGATTGGGTAACCTGGACATCAGAGCAAGACCCTGTCTCAAAAAAAAAAAAAGAAAGAAACAGAGCTTAAATTCTAATCCAAGTCTTCTTCAATTCAAAGCCTCTGTCTTTCCATGTTACCACATTGCTTCTCTGCTATTTTTCATATTTACATAGATAACATATTTTCATACTATATTTTATATTTTTATGCCTCCAACATTTTTATTTAAATACATCAACAAATATTTGAACACATACTATGTGCCCACTATTTCTTCAAATAGATTTTTGTCCCTCTTTCTCTCCTGGGCTCTAATCTTATGTAGATTAAATTGATTGCTCTTGTTCTACAAGTGGCCTCTATTTTTAATCCCCCCACCAACCGTCCCTCTGTTTTTCTTCTCTCTGTGTTTCATTTTGGATAATTACTATTGCTGTATCTTCAGGATCACTGATGTTTTCTTCTGTAATTTTCAGTCAGCTATTAATACCATCCAGTGTATTTTGTATTTCAGATACTATATTTCACCTATAGAAGTTTGATTTGGGTCCGGGCGCGGTGGCTCACGCCTGTAATCCTACCACTTTGGGAGGCCGAGGTGGGTGGATCACCTGAGGTCAGGAGTTCAAGACCAGCCTGGCCATCATGGTGAAACCCTATCTTTGGAAAAAAAAAAAAAAAGGAAGTTTGATTTGGGTCTTTTACCTATATATTCCATTCTCCATTATGTCATGCTTTCTTTTATACCCTTTAGTGTACTTGTAATAGCTGTTTTGTTTGTTTTTGTTTTTGTTTTTGTTTTGAGATGGAGTCTGCTCTGTCGCCAGGCTGGAGTGCAGTGGCACAATCTTGGCTCACCGTAACCTCCACCTCCCAGGTTCAAGTGATTCTCCTGCCTCAGGTTCTTGAAAAGCTGAGACTATAAGCATGCACCACCATGCCCAGCTAATTTTTTATTTTTAGTAGAGATGGTATTTTACCATGTTGGCCAGGGTGGTCTCCATCTCTTGACCTCGTGATCCACCTGCCTCAGCCTCCCAAAGTGCTGGGATTACAGGCATGAGCCACTGAGCCTGGCTGTAATAGCTGTTTTAAGGTCCTGGTGTGCTAATTCCATCATCTCTGTCATTTCTTGGTCTTTTTCTTTTGATTAATTTTTGTTATTAGTCATAATCCTGCTGCTTTGCAAGTGTGGTGATTTTTTTTTTTTTTTTAAAGACGGGGGTTTCACCATGTTGGTCAGACTGGTCTTGAACTCCCGACCTCAGGTGATCTGCCCGCCTTGGCCTCCAAAGTGCTTGGATTACAGGCGTGAGCCACCACGCCCAGCCTAAGTGTGGTGATTTTTTATTGGACTCAAGGGGATCCCTCTGTGGATCTTCTGTGACCATTCTCAGTGCAGAACTCTGTCTCTCTTCTCTATTCTCACTTTTTCTTGGTTCCAGTATTCAAATCTTGCAAATTCTGGTTGTTTTAGATCTCCTAAAGTTTAATTTCTCTCCTCCACTTAGCAAGACCATCCCATTTTGTTTGGGTTCCCTCTCCCTGTGTTGCAGCCTGGAAGCCACTTAGATGCAGTAAGCTGGGGTAGTCATTGGTTCACCTGGTTTGTTTCCTTCTCTCAGGGATCGTAGGTTTAATGCTGCCTGTTGTCCAGTGCCTGAAGGTTACTTCATGTATTGTGTCTTGTTTACAATGGGAGTAAGGGTGATAGTTTCTATAGTAGTTAATCCTCATGAGTGGAAGTAGAAATCATTACTTTCTGGATTTAAGATCTGACATATTAAATGTGGGAAGGAATGGGGAGAATTTGTTAGAAAGGGAGATTAATAAGGCCAGGCATGGTAGTGGCTCACGCCTCTAATCTCAGCATTTTGGGAGATCAAGATGGGCAGATCACCTGAGATCAGGTGTTTAAGACTAGGCTGGCCAACATGGCGAAACCCTGTGCCTACTAAAAATACAAAAAACTAGCCAGGTGTGGTGGTGGGCATGTATGATCCCAGCACTTTGGGAGGCTGAGGTGAGTGGATCACGAGGTCAAGAGTTCGAGACAAGCCTGAGCAACATGGTGAAACCCCATCTTTACTAAAAAAACAAAAATTAGCTGGGCGTGGTGGTGTGCACCTGTAGTCCTAGCTACTTGGAGGCTGTGGCAGGAGATTTGCTTGAACCCAGTAGGCAGTGGTTGCAGTGAGCCAAGATTGTACCACTGCACTCCAGCCTGGATGACAGAGTGAGACTCCGTGTAAAAAAAAACAAAAACATAAACAAAAAATGGAGATTAATAATTATTAAAATTACAGCCAGGCACAGTTGCTCACGTCTGTAATCCTACCACTTTGGGAGGCTGAGGTGGGTGGATCACCTGAGGTCTGGTGCTCAAGACCAGCCTGACCAACATAGTGAAACCCGGTTTCTACTAAAAATACAAAAATTAGTTGGGAGTGGTGGCAGGCGCCTGTAATCTCAGCTACTTGGGAGGCTGCAGCAGGAAAATCACTTGAATCCAGGAAGTGGAGGTTGCAATGAGCCGAGATCATACCACTGTACTCTAGCCTGGGCGACAACAGCGAGAGTCTGTCTCAAAAAAAAAAATTATTAGAAATACAAATGTGTGTGTGTGTGTGTCTGTGTGTGTGTGTGTGTGTGTGTGTGTGTATTTTGATCCAAAGTTCTGACTTATTTAAAAAAAAAAAAAAAAAACAAAAAAACAAATTAGCTGGGCTTGGTGGTAGACTCCAGTAGTCCCAGTTGCTATCGGACTAGAGACTGAGGTGAGGTGAGAGGATTGCTTATCAGAGGAGATTGAGACTGCTATGAGTTATGATTGTGCCACTGCACTCCAGTTTGGGCAGCAGAGCAAGGCTCTGTCTCAAAAAAAAACAAACAAAACTTTTTCCGTTGCTCAGTGGAAAAATATTTTAGCGTAATATAATTTCATTGTGTGTCAAGAAGGTCAACTTGTCTTGTAACCGAGTTGAGCTAATAATAAGCCCTTTACCAATATACAAGATAAAATTTCCTTTCAGTTCATGTATTAATTAGGACAAAACTAACTTCCATAAGAAAACCAAAAATATCTGTGGTTGAACACAAGAGAAATTGTGGGGGGACTGTCAGCCATCTGGTGAATCCAGAAACCCAGGTTCCTCTTATCTTGTTGTGGTTCTATTCATTTCCTAGGGCCCTGCCCTTTTTAATTGTTTTCCTTATCACTTCTCTCTTTCTCACTCATTGAGTTGAAATTAATATACCATAGGGTTCACCCTGTTAATTACCTGTTCTCCCCGCACCCCCCCGCCCCCACAAGGAGTCTCCCTCTGTTGCCCAGCCTGGAATGCAGTGGGGTGATCTTGGCTCACTACAACCTCTGCTTCCGGGTTCAAGCAATTCTCCTGCCTCAGCCTCCTGAGTAGCTGGGATAACAGGTGCCTACCACCCTGCCCGGCTAATTTTTTGTATTTTTAATAGAGATAGGATTTCACCACGTCAGCCAGGCTGGCCTTGAACTCTGGACTTCGAGTGATCTGCCCACCTCGGCCTCCCAGAGTGGTGGGATTACAGTCGTGAGCCACTGCACCCAGCCTAACCACGTGTTCCTAAAAGCCCTGCTCAGGAGGTGATCAGTTCTGCTCATGTTCACACTCCACTGGTGAGAACTTTTCACATGGGTAATGCACTCCAAGTGAGAACTCTGCTCTGTGAAAGAGGAAAACAAAGTTTTAGCAGATAGCTAGCAAGCTCTGTCACAGGTCAGGTTTATGTATCTGCCTTTGATTTGTTATATTGAGAAGTTTATGTTCTTCCTCTTTTCTCTTAAGAAAGTGATTTTTGTTAGCCAGTGAGGTTTTAATATTTTTTGCTTTAACTGTTGGAAAAAGAGATG